ATGAGGATTTCCTGTAGCCATTTTATCTTTTGTTTTCTGGTAACTCTGTGCTTCCATTGGTTCTCTTCCTTTATGCTTCTATCTGTTGTTTTTGTTTGGGGGTATTCCATACATATTTCTTCTGTTTCTTCTTTTTTTTAAGCTATATGTCTTGTTTGGGGGATTTTTGTGTGTGGTTGCCATAAGTTTTATAAAAAGCGAAGTTGCGTATATACCATGGTTTTTTCCCTTTTGAGTGCATCTGATCTTCATCTTCCTTTACCTATTCATACCTGTCCCTCTTCCCTTTGTATGTTTTTGTTGTCGCAAATTATCCCTTTTATGCTATGAGTTTTTTGGCAATCCTACTGGTAGTGTTATGACCTTATGTTCTTTGTTTCTGGTAGAATAACTCCCTCCTGCAATAGAGGTATTCTAGTGATAAAATCCCTCAGCTTCTGATGTCTGAGAATGTTCTTATTTCTCCTTCATATTTAAAGGATAATTTTGCTGGATATAATATGTGTGGCTGGTAATTTCTCTCTTTCAGATATTTGAATATTTGGTTCCACTCTCTTCTGGCTTGTAGAGTTTTTGCTGATAAGTCAGGTGAAATTTTTATGGGTTTTCCTTTATAGGTTACTTCCTTCTTTTCCCTGGATGCTTTGAGGATTTTTTCTTTGTCGCTAATTTTTGATAGCTTCATTACCAAGTGCCTTGGAGAGGGCCTCTTTGAATTGAGGTCACTAGGTGTTTTGTTTGCTTCTTGGATTTGAGGATTTAGTTCTTTCCATATATTTGGGAAGTTCTCATCCACTATTTGTTTTAATAGACTCTCCATTCCATACTCTCTCTTCCTCCTCCGCTATGCCTTATGATTCTGGTGTTATTTTTTTATGGAGTCAGAGAGATCTCATAGGGCTATTTTGTATTTCTTTTTATCAGGTCTCTCTCTTCTTCCCTCTGCATCATTTCTTGATTTCTATCTTCAATATCACTAGTTATTTCCTCTGACTGGTTGGTTCTGTTTTCTAGGCTCATCAGCTCACTCTTAATTTCTTTAATTGCCTGCTTCATTTCCAGGATTTCAACTTGATCCTTTCAAATTTCAATTTCTTTGGAGAAATACTCATTTTGTTCATTGATTTGTTTTCTGAGTGCTCTGAATTGCCCGTCAGTATTTTCTCACTTCTCATTGAGTACTAGAGGCCTGGTGCATGAATTCATGCACATTGAAAGGAAATTAATTAGAAGAAATATTTTAATATCGCTATTCGCCCTTTCTCTGTAATAGAGGTGTCAACCAAATTCACGATCGACAATAACAGATGGAAACACATGCGTGCGTTGGTGCCATTGAGAGCTTTATATATATAGACTAGAGGCCCGGTGCACAAAATTCGTGCACTGGAGGGGGGGAAGTCCCTCAGCCCAAATTACGAGAGGGCACAGGCTGAGGAACCCCACCAGTGCATAATCGGGGCCAGGGAGGGACACAGGAGGGCTCCAGGGCATGTCTGGCCCAAACTCGATTGGCCAGACCCCAGCAGCAAGCTAACCTACCAGTCGGAGCATTTGCCCCCTGGTGGTCATTGCCCCTCATAGTGACTGGTCAACTGTCTGCCCCCTGGTGGTCAGTGCATGTCATAGCAAGCAGTTGAGCAGCCTTAGCATATCATTAACATATTACGCTTTGATTGGTTGACCAGACAACTGGACACTTAGTATATTAGGCTTTATTATATAGGATAAACTTGCTTAATTAGACCTGCTTTCTGATTTAACTAAACTTTTTCCATCCCAGTGAAGCACGCCAACTTGTCTTTCAGGTAATTGTCAGAACACAGCAGTAAATATCAACACAAAGCAGATTATTATTGTAGATCACACAGGGAGAACAAAGGGTGAAATATTTAACTGCAGCAGTGTTTGCCTATATTCTGCACAGTGAGAAAACCTGAAGTCATTTTCAAGTTCCACCATTTCTTCTTTTCAGTCCAGTCAAGTTTCTAAACTTTCTAAATCTCCGTTTTCCAGCTAATGAAAAGAAAATAGAATTCCACCGAGTCTCCTATTTACCTACTCCAGGACTTCTGTGAGGATCAAATGAGATGAGGCATGGGAAAACGCTTCACAGACATTTGGTTAAAGTGTAGTGCAAGTCAGTTTCCTGGGCTGAAGAACTCCAAGGAGGCTAGTCGCTAGGGAGAGGAAGCTGGGCATTGCTACGTGACATCATTACCCAGCACCCACAGCCACTGTTTCCAGGCTGGGCTGTGGGCTGCATTTTGCACCATGGGATCTCGGCAGCATTAGCTGCAATTTGATGGGGTGTTGCTCTGGGGTGGTGGTGGGGCCTGTGTCCCACTTGGGGGAAGCCGAGTGTTGCTTCGTTGGTGCCAGGTCCACGGTGCTGTTTCTTTGTAAATGGCCAATGTGTGTCACGGCAGCTCCTGTATTAAGCATCTGCTCCCTGGTGGTCAGTGTGCGTCATAGTGACAGGTCAGATGGTTGGAGGGACACTTAGCATATTAGCCATATATAGATAGATAGATATATTTATGTGTGTGTGTGTGTGTGTGTGTGTGTGTGTGTGTGTGTGTGTGTATATATATATATATATATAATTTTTTTTTTCTTTTCAGAACTGCAATCTTGAAATCTCTTTCAACTCTCATAATTCCATGTATTCCAGCCTATTTTCTGGGGATTTTTCATTTTCTTTCTGGTCATCATTGTTGTAGTAGTTGTTCATGGCATTCACTGTTCTCCTTTGTTTTCCCATCTCTGAGGAGGTCTTTCTACTCTGTTCCAGTAGATGGCACTGAATTGCAAGATTTTTTTATCCTCTTTGGCCTCATAGTTTTGAGCCTCTGCAGCTTCCGTAGGGCTGTACCGCCTCTGTTGCTTGGGGGTGAGGTTTGTTTTTCTCTCACAGTAGTGGCAACCACTGACCTCCACAGGTCCATCCCAAGCGCCCCTCCTGGGGTTCAGTCACAGAGGGAAACTGAGTTTCTACTGCAACAACTCTTGGCCTACAGATAATTCACTGCTGGAGCCAACTCCAAGGGCAACAGGAAGCGCGATTTTGGAATCGAGTCAGTGGCAGGGCTCTGTGATTTACTTTCTTTGCCTGAAAGCCCACAGCCAGGCCACCCGTGTGGAGCAGCTCTGTAGGGCATGTGTCTGCTGACTCCAGCTCACGCATGCAACTCAGACCCCATTCACAACGCGCCCCCACGGTTCAGACACCCTCTCACTGCTGTGTACATGACCACACAATGCTGCCACTCCAGTGGCTACTCCAACAGCCAGCCACTGGCTGGGTTTGCTCTCTGTTCACCCTGACCAGCTGAGGAAAGTGCTCGTAACTGCTGCTGCCAGTTCCCAGCTGCACTGCAGACATGCTGCTGCACTGTGGCTGTGTTCAGCTTCCTCCCTTCTCATCTCCCCACTTATTCCAGGGAGCCCAACTAGTTCCAGTGTGCAGGTCTCTCAGGCATGCATCCGTATTGAGCAGGGACTTATTTGTTGAATTATAGGTGGTGATTTTGTTGAGATGTTAATGGGGAGAGGATAGACACGCCCTTACACCGCCATTCCTCTGACCTCCACCTAAACCTGCATTCTTAAAATAAACTTTAGTTCAGTGTTTATGAACATGGGTCTAAGAAACACTATGTCAGAGACACCTGTGTGTTTATGAAAAACATGCTTCCTAGACCCCACCTCAGCTTTAATAAATCAGACCCTCTAGGAGCGAGGTACACAACTTCCCATTCTTGGCAACCCCACCATGTGGATCTAATCCAGCCGTGGGCAAACTGCGGCCCGGATCCGGCCCGTTTGAAATGAATAAAACTATTGGAAAAAAAGACTGTACCCTTTTATGTAATGATGTTTACTTTGAATTTATATTAGTTCACACAAACACTCCATCCATGCTTTTGTTCCGGCCCTCCGGTCCAGTTTAAGAACCCATTGTGGCCCTCGAGTCAAAAAGTTTGCCCACCCCTGAATTCTCTACCATTCTGAATTGCAGTGAATCAAAATGAATGATGTTGTTGCTTAAACATCAGCAACTGCCAACATTTCTTTGATGAACACACATCAGTTGCCTGTCAATCTAAAAGTGAAAGTAAAAGTTAGTGTAGGCCTGGTCCAAAGGGAGGAGAGCCCAAGTAAATAAATGAATGGTTCAAAGCACATGGTGAACCAGAGCACGCTCTGTGCAGCACTGTCTCATTACAAACGGAGGAAGAAAGAAGGAATGTGGATTCCATAAGGAGGTAAAAACTGCCAAGTGCTCAGAGCTTCCCTTCTTCCCCTCATGGTCCCCATCTGGTTGGTTGTACATAGACGCAACAACTCATATCTGATGGACTAAAAATAGATTAATGACTCTACTTCAGTTCATATTGAAATGAATCTTCTCATGCTTAACATGAAGCAAAACTCCAGAGTTAGCACTTTCTGAGAAGAAAGGGGCCTAAGTTATTCTCAAGTAAACTGACATTTATTTTTATTCATGTAGTCACTTCAAATGTATCTTGACTTGATTACACTCTATATTTTGATCAGCGATATAGAAACAGAAGAATAATTCATATAGCAGTGCCTTCTATGTTCCACTATTTGAACCATCTTTCTGAAAGCATTGTTCATGTAAGACATCCCGAGAAGCTCACATTCTTGAGATAAGAACAAGACATTCTCAGAATCGATGCATCTGATGCCTGTCTGTCCACAATGCACTCTAGGGCAGAGGATTTGTGTCACACGGTGCCAGCAATAGGAGCCTAGGTACCAGAAATAACAGCAGGCTTTTCAATAACTGGCCCCATTACCAAGTGCCTACTGTTAGTGGGATTAGAACAGAGTGACCAAGGTTCAATGTACATGCAGCAGGGAGCAATCCTTGGAAGAAAAGGTAAGTGGCAAAATTTTGAGTTCACCGTACTGATGCATTAATGAGCAAGATTGTTTTTCCAAACTGGTTTTTGTCTTGTGTTGTTCTTTAGTTTTATCTATAAGTGACCCATCTTTCAGAAGCCACGAATTATCCTGGATGTCTTTTGCTTCCTTTCATATTTGTAAAAAGACACATATTCAAATGCAGTTCCAGGTTTTTTCCACAGATGGCATCCTTCTTTACGTGGCACAACACCTAACAGCACAATCAGGTAAAGTTGACAGGATCTTTGTTTGCAAAGTGGAAAAAATCCTAATGAATTCCCGATAGTCCATTAAGTAATAGGTGATGAAGTATTTTTATTTTAAGTCACCTCGCCTATCAATATGTAATCACTTGATACTTTCATGTTCTATGGTTACTCTGAGCGTTATGTTTATGAATTGACTCCTTAAATATAAATGTTAATAAAATAGCAAGAGCTTTGTTAGAATTTTAAAGTTAGCAAAATCTAAATATAGTATAATCTCAGCTTTATAATAATCCCATCAAAAAAGAGGTTGAAGCCATATCTGATAGTCTATGGCAAAAGGAACAAAATATGCATATAACAGATTTGTTTTTTAAAAAAAAGAAGGCATGCTGGTAGTTTGCCAATAAATCTGTCCAAATTAACAGCTCCAAAAATTTTTCTTTAAGTTGTTTTGTCTTCTAAATGATAAAAAAGGTAGGATCTACATCCCAAATTAAGTTTATAAAAAATCTTAACTATAAAAATTTGCATAACTATTGTAAAAGAATATGAAATAACAATATCTAAGTACTATGCTTCAGTTTTAAAAATTAATATTTGAGTTTTTACTTTGTTCTAAATTACTTTTTTATTTTGTTCTCCAGAACTTAAAAAAGACATTTGCATGCATTTTTAATGCAAAATCTTTTTTAAATTTTACATTTAGGATTTTTTTTTCTTTTTTTTTTCTCAGAAAATGAAATTTTTGTATTGAGAAATACCTCAGTTTTCTTCTCATGGTCAACAAAAATAGTACAGGATTTTCACAATATAATTATTTTTAAGGTGCTTTAATATGTTACTAAGTGATAATATCAGAGAATTAGACCAAAGTGGTTCCATCTCAATGCACTGTTGAAATACCTTCAAAATTAATTCAAGGAGAAAAAATGATACTCCCCCCCCCCCAAAAAAAAATAACATGATTGCGTTACAAAATATACCTTAGAAGAAATTTTTCTCCTGAGATTTGATATTATATTTGGTTTTAAATTCATAATTAATTTAAATATCTGTAAAAATGCTAAATGGGAGAATCATGCACAAATAGAAATTTTCTGTTTATAAATCAAGAGACATTAAGAGGTAATTGGCTTCAGTTATATTGCTCATTAAAAATACCCTCAGAGTTAACCTTTGTACAGTAAGGGCAGAAAATCAAGAAATATTTGGGACTTGCTACGAATGCTGTACCATAATTTTATAATTAGTATATATACTTCACAGTATATAAAATTAAAAGCCATACATACACATTAATAATCATAGGCAAGAACACTTTTTGCCTATTAAAAAGTATCTTTTTATACTTTTAAAAGGCATTGTATTACAGTTCATGAAAGTCAAGATTTTCCTTTTATCTGCCATAGACACAATTTACAAAGAGAACTAAAAATATACTAATTAGTTTTATGTCATGATTGGTGCTATATCTGACACTTAAGTAAGGAAATAATAAAAACTTTAAAATGTAAAAAGAAAATCTAAGCTCTACATTTGTAGACTTAGATTAACCTAAAGGTAATTATCAGTTGAAAGGCATATACTTATTTATTAGCAATCAAGTGGTGTAACGAGGGGTGAAGTATTTTTCATTTATTTAAGGTTGCATAAAATAAAGGTGACTATCCTGTACTTTGTACCTTCTCTAAGAACCGCATCTGATGGAAACATTAACTGAGCCTTCTAGCTCATCCTCTGCTAAGAAGAGCTATCCTATCTAATAAAAGGCAAAAAGGGTAACTGACCATACCTTAGCTACGCTTCCCATTGGCTAGTCAGGGTGATATGCAAATTAACCACCTACAAAGATGGCGGCTAATTTGCATACTAGGCTCCAAGTGGTGGAGCGAAGCTAAACGTACCCGAAGCCTGCCGAGCAACGAGGCCTCATGCCCCCGGGATCAGCGGAGCAGCAAAGCCTGACGGCTGGGAGGGGGGAGCTCTGGCCAGAGCCCAGCCAGAGTGAAGGCCTGGGTTCCGGGTGGCAGAGGAAAACTGGTGCCAGCAGCCAAAGGAAGGGAAGGCCTATTGCACGAATCTCTTCATGCAACAGGCCTCTAGTTAATAAAAATAAAAAAATACCCACCCTGGCCAGCGTGGCTCAGTTGGTTGAGCATTGACCCATGAACCAAGAGGTCCCAAGTTCGATCTCTGGTCAGGGCACATACATACCGGGGTTTCTGGCTCAATCGGCCATGCAAGAGACAGCAATCTATGTTTCACTTTCACATCAGTGTTTCTCTCTCTCTCTCTCTCTCTCTCTCTCTCTCTCTCTCTCTCTCTCTTCTCCTCTATCTCTCTCCTTTCCTCTCTCTCTAAAAATCAAAACATAATTTTTAAAAATACCCACTTAATACATAATGTGAAAAATCACAAATTTAGATTTTCAGCAGCCAATTAGGCTTTCATATGCGCCAAACCAAATTCTTAATTAACAAGGTTTCTGTCTTTTTAGAGGTAAATAATTGGAATAATCTCAAATAGTGTAAAATTTAAAACAAAAGGATCATTTGAAAATTACCATAATTTATTTTAGATCTCTGATTTTGGAAAGAGTTAAGTCTATGGCACCTGTTTATCTGTTTCTGCTAAATATTTAGTATCATAAAACTAGTTTTTGACACAATATCATGCTAAGCATAAGTTAGTCACAGATGGCTGAATTCATCTCGATATAGTTATAATCCTCCCAAATGTGTATTAAAAAGCCTAGTCAACTACAATGTAAAGTTAAAGCATATTCAAACAACTGAATAATAAAAGATAAGTTATATTATCGTTGCTTTCCTTTTCTAGAGAAAAAAGTATACAAAATTTCCCTAATACGCTGTCTATAGTGTCTTCACAAATGTTAGGTCCTCCCAGGTTTCATTGAACTGTGATGCATGGTGGGGGCAATGACAGCACCGAGAAGGCAGACAGGGCCCTAGGCCTGGTTAGACATGGTTAAATAGCCAGAGCACATTCATTCATGATCTTCATTCCACTTATGAGCTCACTTTCTTGTAAGGACCATCCACTAGTGGTGAGCTTTTAACATTTGTGTGCCTAATGCCAATTTTACTCATGACCCATGACTACAGCACCATTTCCTAGCCAACTAAAATAAAAGGCCTGCATGCCAAAGAGCTGCAAATACAGCTCAGAGCAATTTTAGCTCCCAGGGCCACAGAGGGAGAGAAAACCCCTTTCTTTGTCAATTCTTAAGAATGTACCAGCAAAGCCCTGTTAAAGTAAGTAGTTCTCCTTACTTTTCTTCCAGGTGGCAACTTGACCAGTGATGTAATAGATCACAGCTTCAGCTTTCCTAATCATGTTTTAGCTGCTTTTTATTCCAATGTAGCGCTTCACTGTAAGATTGTTTGCTATAGGACAGTACAACAAAGGTAGCAACAGAAACTTCTCCCACTGTGCTGTGAAAGAGAATTGTGTCCACTTGCAAGGCACAAAGTATATTCAGAGTGTTATGGATTTTTATTTTTTTATTGATTTTTAGAGAGAGGGACAGAGAGAGAGAAATATCCATCAGTTGCCTCCTGCACATGCCCCAACCAGGGATTGAACCCACAACCTGGGTATGTGCCCTGACCAGGAATTGAATCTGCCGCCTTTTGGTGTAAGGGACAATGTCTCAAACATCTGAGCCACACCAGCCAGGGCCAGAGGGCTATAAATTTTTAAGACTTAATATCAATTGTTTTGTTATTCTAGTTTCTTATGGTATAAACATTTTAAGTAATTCTACCTGAATTTAATATTGTCTTATAAAATGTTTGCATTGCTGCTTCTCTTTCTTTAGACTTAAAATGTGTTCATGTTAGAAAATATGAAATAAAGTGAATTTCTTTCTCTTTGGGGAAATTAACAATTTTAAAATTCATGTAGTATAGGATTTTAATGCCAGAAAACCAGTATTTGGGAACTATTCAGTAATCTCACCCCACAACTATACAAATGTATTTCTTAATGCAGCAATTACTTATTGAGTATCTCATTATGTGCCAGGCACTGTGCTCCTGCTGGGGGCCAACTGTTGGGCCAAATCAGATACAGCCCCTGTTCTCATGAAGCTTACAAGCTAGTGAAGGCAGCAGCTATTATTCAAATAATAACAGATGTAATGACATAGATTATATCCACCAGAAATTATGAGAAAATGTTTGAAGCAAGAGAGTCATACTTTGCATTGTCTCAGGTGGAAATGATACGTTTAGGACCATAGAGCTGCCAGGTCCCCACCAGCCCGAGAGTGGTCTGGTGTGGGCCACAAGGGGGAGAATGAACATTATTTGCAGGTGGGAGGTGAGGCGGCCTGGCACTTCGAAAGGGGGAAGAGGAAAAAGTAGTAGCAGGTGCCAAGAAGTCTTCTTGAATAGAAGAGGAAAGAACTTTTCACTGGTCGTGAAATGACCGGGGAAAGGGAAATGCTCTTTTGAGAAAGATTCCCGTGGGGTTTGCTCTGTCCACCACTCGACTCCCCCTAGAAACAAGACTGTGCACTGAAGGCCTGCCTCGTTTTCCCAGGCGGGGACAGTTGCATTTGCTTTTCCTCTGAGTACCTCAATGCAGCTTCATATACACGCTGGATCATTTGTTCAAATGTTTTCACACAAGACTATATAATTGTGAGATAAATATTGTGAAGGAGAGAGACCTAGTGCTATTAAAACACTAATAGGAAAACAAAACAAAAAACCCTGACCAAAAAAGACTTGTCCGAGGAAGTGGCATTTGATCTGAGAGCTCAAATAAGGCTGGAGTTGCCTCGGTGAGGTGGAGGGGAGTTCCAATAAAACAGCATGTGCATGTGCGAGTGTTCTGAAACGAGGATGAAACTCTCCAACAAGGTCAGTGTGGCTGGAGTCGAGTGGAGGAACAGGGAGAGAATACACTCCAGGCAAAGCTGGAGAGAGGGGCCCAGAACCTGCAGAGCCTTTGTCGAAATGTCAAAGATTTTAAGTTCCTGTCCCAACAGTAGTGAATGCCATTAAAGGTAGGAGAATAATGAGAATTTCACTTGAAACAATCACTTGAGCTTCAATGTAGACGAGAAAATCAGCTGGAAAGGGAGAAGAGATGATAGTCCATTTAAAGTGGCAGGAGAGAAGTGGACAGAATCAAGATGTTTACAATGAACCCAAGTGCTAAAAAATCTGTTTGATCAGAGACCCATGTTTGGCAGGTTATGTGTGGACCAAAGAAATGATGAATCCAAGGATCACACCTAAATTTCTGGTCTGAAGAACGGGATGGAGGGAGTGACTCACTGAGTTGGGGAAGACTAGAAGAGGCCAGGTGTATGGGAGGCGATTCACACACTGAGAGACAAACTTGGAGTTTGAGGTGCCTTTAAATCCCAAGCAGAGATCTCAGCTAGGGGTCTGTGTGCTTGATGCCAAGGGCATGGCTGAAACACGCACACTATAATAAAAGGCTTTCAGAGCATAACTATGAACTGTTCTTGTTTCTTTCACCTACCTCCCCAATCTGTCAAAAACAAAGTCAGTGGCTTGGAGCAAACGTTGCTTATTTTTACACATTCACCCTTTACTAAAATTATTAAAGGAACACCTCTGTTTAACTTAGTACCACCATACATTCATTCACTCGATGGAAAATATTTATAACTAGGGAAAACTTATGTGGCCAATTCCGGAACAAAAGAATACAGAATGTGTGAATGAATGTACTAGTATACAGCTAGTATACTTTGATCTGCAAATGGAAAGAAAATTCTCTACCATAATTATGACCAAGACTTGTTACCTTCTTTTTCCAAAACCACATTTTATTCAAGTGGCCAGAAAGAGCAAGTGTTTTTAATGGAGTACCATTTCACTGTTACTAAACTGGTTTTCTTTCTCAACAGGTGATTTTTTATGTATCTCTTTAGTAAATGGTGCTGTTCAACTTCCTTACAATCTGGGTGACATAACTGTCATTCAAGAAACTCTCCAAAAAGTAAGTACTAACGGAAGCAGTTGGCATGTGATTAAAGCAGGAAGAGCCGGTGCAAAAGGCTACCTGGATCTGGATGGGATAAATGTAACAGAGAAGGCCGACGTTAAAATTAGCTACCTGGACACAAACACTGACTTCTATATTGGAGGAGTGTCTTCCTTAAGTCTTGTAAATCCCATGGCAACAGCCAATGGACCGGTAGGTTTTCAAGGTTGTGTCCGAGAAGTTATAAATAATCAAGAATTACAATTAACTGAACTAGGAGCCAAAGGTGGCTTAAATGTAGGTGACTGTGATGGGACAGCCTGTGGGTACACTGTGTGCAGAAATAGGGGTGAATGTATAGTAAATGGCACTTTCTTGTGCAGATGTCCACCACACTGGACTGGAAACACATGTGACCCATCTGTGTACTGTTTGAGTCACCTTTGTCTCCACCAATCTCTGTGTATACCTGACTGGCCGTTCTCTTACAGTTGTGTCCTTTGTGTTGGGTGGGAAGGTTTTGTGAAAGCAAAACTTCATTTTCAACTGCAAAATTTATGGGTAATTCTTACATTAAACACATTGATCCACACTATAGAAAAAGAAACCTCTAGCTCACTACTGTATCCTTAAATTTCAGTACTACTGAAAGAGCAGGCTTAATTGTGTGGATAGGAAAAGTTCAAAATGAAGAAAGTGATTTTCTGGCAATTGGTCTCCATAATCAGACTTTGAAAATAGCAGTTAACTTAGGAGAATGCAACTCTGTACCGATGATTTATAGCAATGGTACATTCTGTTGTAATAAATGGCACCATATCATTATAAGTCAAAATCAAACTCTTATTAAGGCCTTCCTAGATGGCAAGCTAATTCTCTCTGAGGATATTGACCCACACAAAAAATTTGTTGCTCTGAACTATGATGGTATTAGTTACTTAGGGGTTTTGAATATGGTCAAAAGATAAACATTGCTACTCAAGAGATTTTTAAAAGAAATTTTGTTGGTAAAATTAAAGATGTATTTTTTCAGGATTCAAACAAACGAGTTAATTGAATCAGAGGAGTACAGAGTTTATAATGGAGATGAACAGAATTAGGTTACACAAACTTATAGTGGTTACTTTAATATACTATATATGTAAATATAGTTGCTTTGTTAGTAATTTCTTTAGCACATTATTTTGCTGAAAAACAACTGTTTACTATTATCTGAAATAGTCTAAATGCTAACACTTTTATAAGCTTATATAACTAAAGAAAGATTCTGGTTGTTTTTCCGACATCCAATTTATCTGTAAGTATGTTGATTGCTAAATTTTGACTCCATTAGTTCATTCATTAATTCATTTAGTGTTTATTCATCTGTGAATTTTTTTAAATAAAATTTAGGTGGGAATGAATTATTTTTATCTATTTTTTTAATATATTTTTTATTAAGATATTACATGTGTCCTTGTCCCCACGTTACCCTCTACCCCCCCCCTCATGCCCTCACCCCCCCGTTGTCCGTGTCCATTGGTTAGGCCTATATGCTTGCATGTAAGTCCTTTGGTTGATCTTTCCCCCTTACCCCCACCCTCCCCTACCTTCCCTCCAAGGCCCGACAGTCCAATCAATGCCCTCCGTCTCTGGATCAGACCTTGTTCATCAGTTTATGTTGTTCATTATATTCCACAAATGAGTGAGATCATGTGGTATTTATCCGCTCTCAAGTTCCATCCATGCTGTGGCAAATGGTAAGAGTTCCTTTTTCTTCTTCCTCTTCTTAAAGAATACCTTTCAGCATTTCATATAATGCTGGTTTGGTGGTGATGAACTCCTTTAGCTTTTTCTTATCCGTGAAGCTCTTTATCTGACCTTCTATTCTGAATGATAGCTTTGCTGGATAAAGTAATCTTGGTTGCAGGTTCTTGCTATTCATCACTTTGAATATTTCTTGCCACTCTCTTCTGGCCTGCATGGTTTCTGTTGAGAAATCAGCTGACAGTCGTATGGGTACTCCCTTGTAGGTAACTGACTGTCTTTCTCTTGCTGCTTTTAAGATTCTTTGTCTTTTGCTCTTGGCATTTTAATTATGATGTGTCTTGGTGTGGTCCTCTTTGGATTCCTTTTGCTTGGGCTTCTCTGTGCTTCCTGGACTTGTAAGTCTATTTCTTTCACCAGGTAGGGGAAGTTTTCTGTCATTATTTCTTCAAATAGGTTTTCAATATCTTGCCCTCTCTCTTCTTCTGGTACCCCTATAATTCTGATGTTGGTACGCTTGAAGTTGTCCCAGAGGCTCCTTACACTATCTTCATATTTTTGGAATCTCTTTTCTTTTTCGGTTGGGTATTTTTTGTTTCTTTGTATTTCAAATCTTTGACTTGATTCTTGGGATCCTCTTGTCTGCTGTTGGATCTCTGTAAATTATTCTTTATTTCAGTCAGTGTATGCTTAATTTCTAGTTGGTCCTTTTTCATGTCCTCCAGGGTCTCACTATACTTATTGAGGGACTCACTAAATTTATCGGCAGTTTCCATAAAATTCTTGAAAAACCTTATAAACGTGGCCTTGAACTCTATATCCAGTCGTTTGCTTTCCTCCATTTCTGCCATTTGTGACCTGTTTCTTTGTCTCCGCATTTTGGCTGCTTCCCTGTGTTGATAGAGTGGCTTTGTGTGCTAGGTGTCCTGTAGGGCCCAGTGTCTCAGCCTCCCCAGTTACCTGAGGTGGACACTCTTGGTGCACCCCTTGTGGGCTTTGTGCACAGTCTTGTTGTAGTTATGCCTTGGTTGTTGTAGGATCACTGGGAGGAATTGACCTCCAGGCCAATTAGCAGTGAGAATCAGCTGTGTCTACAGTGGGAGAACTTCTGTGCTGGAGACACCCTTCTGGGGCAAGACTTGCTTCAGTGGGGTTTTGGTGCTCACTGAGTCTGCACCCTGAGTGTGTCCCTTATGGATCTGAGGAGTTGTGATCTGGATGGTCTCCCTCTGACCACTGGGTACAGTAGCTCTTGGATCTAAGGAGGTGCTAATTTAGCCTCTGCCTGCGGTTACACAGCAGGAGCTACGGAGAGAACTGCAGATTCCCCTTCCTTTTTTGGAGTTTGGAGGTGCCCTGATGCGGCTCAGCTGTGAAGCAATGCAAGCCGCTGTGGGGCCTTGGGCCTTCTCTTGGAAGTTCTGTGTCTGTCTGGCCCGGCTGCAGTTAGGTAATTATCAGGTTGCAAAGGGCCGGGGCATTCATATGCAAAAGTCTCTGCCGCAGCCTGGGTGGGGCGGGGTCTCAAGGAATCAAAGGGCGGAGCAAGCAGCTATGGCGAATCCTTAGCCCTGCCCTAAGGAGTCGCACGTCTCAGTGTCCCAGTAACGGCTGCAAGCACCTCTGAGGGAAAGCCGCCCTCAAGTTCGCCCGCTGCCAGACAGTCCAGTTTCTCCCCGTATGAGTCCTGGGTCCCCAGAGACTTCCCAGAACCGGAGTTCAGAGCCGTCAGGAGCTTGTGACTCCCTACGGGTTCAAAAAGACAGCCGAGTCCTCAGGTGCCAGCCCTTTTCCGCGCGTGCGCGCCCCCGTACCTCTGCACTTTACTTCCGCAGCTCCTCTGGCTCTCAGTGTGCTTTTCTTTCCTTCTAGTTGTAGAATTTACACTCAGCCAGCCTTCCAGTAGTTCTGGATGATGTCCGTTTTGTGTTCCTAGAAGATTTTTCAATTGTTGTGGGAGGCAGCAATTTCCCGGTGTTTATCTATGCCATCTTAGTTTCATTTTCGGGAATGAATTATTGATATACACAAAGAAAAATAAAATAAGCAAATGTTATTAAAAAGAAAATTACATAAGAAAATATTCTATTACATAGCTCAGCTATAACACATGATCGGCAATGTGAAGTTTGAATATTGACTTAAAAATTACATGAATGTGGGAAGGTGGAAGGTGGGGAAAGGAGTTGGCTGGTGAGAGCTAAATCCTTATCTTCTACATTGTCATCAATAAATATTGGTTTTTATAACTATTTTTAAATAACATATAAATATCACTTACAAATATGACGGCAAATATCCTAATGTGTAAAATACTGAAAGTCAAGTCTACATGTCTCAAAATTGGGCATAAAAATAGGTTCTAAATAAAGCCATTGTAAATTATTTTCTTGATATCTGTACTGTTAAAGGATAACTTGAGAAACTCAGTTTTGCCCAATATCAGTGATGGATATAATTGTGAATAGCATTTTCACCCCACCTGTACTCCACCACCATTATTGCTGTTGTTACTTAACATTTTGTTTGATATTTATAATAATTTTGCCACTGACAACACAAGAAAGCAACTGACAACACATGACTGATACAAAGCACTAATAGACAGGACTGTGGAGCAGAGAACTTACTAACAATCAGCATGTGACGTTTAAAAGGAAAAACAGTAATTATCTGTTAAACGGAGAATTTACAAAGAGGACTGGTGCAGTTTAACGTCTTAATGCAAAATCTGCCTGCATGGGCTCCAGCCTATACAAAGACACTAGGTAAGTCATTTGAAGAACTTTACAGGTAATTTTTTTTGCCTTATTTTTGCAATCAGGAAGCGATAGACATTCTTGGAAGGCCCGAGAACTAAAGCTGAGAACTTCGGCACTATTGCTGCCAGACATACCATTCTTAACATTGAAAAGTGTGTGAGCAAAATAGGAGGTGGGATTCCAGAATGTCTATATATTGATTCAAAGAGGGTTTTGTTTGTTTGTAAAAGAAACTACAACTCTACCCAGTGTTTCCTGAAAAACTCAGACCTTTATCCGTTTTGGTCATTTCACTCTTGAGATATTAAGATCATAAGGATAACTGCTCTAAAAAACTTCCTTGATAGTGATAATGAAATCTAACTTTTAAAGATACACATCTTATAGCAAGAAAGCTGTTAAGCCATTCTCTTCTCTATTATTGGCATTATTTTCCTTAACATCTAAACATACTTACTATGGCAGTGATGGCGAACCTTTTGAGCTCGGCGTGTCAGCATTTTGAAAAACCCTAACTTAACTCTGGTGCCGTGTCACATATAAATTTTTTGATATTTGCAACCATAGTAAAACAAAGACTTGTATTTTTTTTTTTAAATATATTTTATTGATTTTTTACAGAGAGGAAGGGAGAGAGATAGAGAGTTAGAAACATCGATGGGAGAGAAACATCGATCAGCCGCCTCCTGCACATCTCCTACTGGGGATGTGCCCGCAACCCAGGTACATGCCCTTGACCGGAATCGAACCTGGGACCTTTCAGTCCGCAGGCCGACGCTCTATCCACTGAGCCAAACCGGTTTCGGCAAGACTTGTATTTTTGATATTCATTTTATATATTTAAATGCTATGTAACAAAGAAAAATCAACCAAAAAAATGAGTTCACGTGTCACAGGTTCGCCACCACTGTACTATGGCCTTAGATGTTTTATAACTCCCAATTTTTAAGATTTATTATTTCACCCACAACTGAGCTACAATTAGTGAGTCAAGAGCTGTGATGAGTGGAACGGCCCCCAAAGTTGTCCACATCCAAATACCTGGAACCTGTAAATATGTTAGATTACATGGCAAAGGGGAATTAAGGTCACAGATGGAATTTAGGTGCCACCTTGGCTTAGCTAGGTGGGCCCCAGGAATCACAAGGGTCCTTTACGGTAAAGAGGGAGCCTCAGCGACAGCAATTTGAGACTCAGGCCCATGTTGTTGGCTTTGAAGATGGAGGAAAGAACCGTAAGGCAAGGAAAATCCATGGCCCCTGGAAGCTGGAAAAAGCAAGAAAATGGATTCTCCTCTAAGCCTCCAGGAAATGCACACTCTGAGACATCTTGATCTCAACCCACTGAGACCCACAGCAGACTTCTGATTTACAGCAGTGTTAAGGGAATAAATTTGTGTGGTTTTAAGCCACCAACTTTGTAATAAGTTTGTCGTAACAGCAATAGAAAATAAGGGCTGCAGAATTAGGATTTGAGATGAAAATAAACTTTATAAATCTATACAAGAGAACCCACATGATTTTGGTTACTTTTGAGGAATGGATTGCTCTGTAAAGGGTTTCAGATAGCAGAATGGGGAGGAAAGGGCTGGGAAAGGTATACAATAACCAGGCTTGTCCCTCCTGCTCTCAATTCTCAGAGCACAGCTGCCACACATAATGACTTTGGAGAAAAATGAAACTGAGCTAGAATCCCAGTCCTGATCACAGCAGTCTAACCTTTCCA